AAACCGTACAGATATACCGTCTTCTTTTTTTTTGTTAAAAGTACAGAGAGAGCAAAAACGTCTCATTTTTTGTATAGTATTGTGTAGAAATTTCCCTTGAAATTTTTTTGTTGAGCAATCTTTTTTCCTTCAAAGGAGTTGTAAGAGCTCTGACCAGACATGTAAAAATACATATATGTTCCATTTTCAAGGCATTTTAACTTTAGATTATAATATATGCATTTATGGTGCTAACTTTTATATAAATAAATTCGGGTCAGAACGTCCTACGACGTTGTCCGATGCCTAACTTCCACCCTGTGCGATTGTCCCATTGATCTTCGGACAGATTTTTCTCGCTCATCGACCTTCTTATTCCTCCCATCCATATTTTCTTGGGACGTCCTCTCTTTCGTTTACCAGGTGGTATCCAATGAATGACTTGTTTTGGAATTCCTTCATTGTGCATTCTCTGAACGTGGCCGTACCATATTAATTGTTTTTGTTCTATATCATTTACTATTGTTCCCTCTATTCCCATCTGTTGTCTAATGTCTTCATTTCTGATCTTATCCCTCCGTGAAATTCTCATTGCTCTTCTAATCGCGTCCATTTCTGTTGTCTCTAATTTCCTTTTATTCCTTTCAGTGAGTCGCCATGTTTCACATCCATAGAGTAATATGCTTTTAACTAGTGTCTCGTATATATTATATTTCCTGTTTTTGTAATTTCAGTGCTCCATAGAATGCCATTTATGCATCTGATAACTCTTCGTGCCTGTATTACTCTGTTGTTTATTTCTCTATCGTCCGTTCCATCTCCTGTAAATATCGATCCCAGGTACCTGTAATCTTCACATGCCCTAATTTCCGTATTATTGTCTAAAATAAGATTTTCTGTATTGGCTCTAATTGGAAGGTATTTTGTTTTTTCTGTATTTACTGTGAGACCCCATTTAGCATATTCTTCAATTATTTTCCGCACCATATATTCCATGTCATCTTTGTCGTTTGCAATTATGGCCTGGTCGTCTGCAAATTGCAAGGTGTATAGGCATATGTCATTTAGTTCTATACCCATTCCGTTACATTTTCTTTTCCATAGATGTAAGGCCTTGGCAATATAAATTTTAAATAGTGTTGGGGATATACAGCAACCCTGTCGGAGCCCTTTAGTGATAGAAATTTCCTCTGAGAGACCGTTGACCGTTTTTATTTGTGATTTTCCTCCATGGTAAAGATTTTGTACAGCTTTTATCAGAGCTGCGTTAATTCTTGATTCGTGCAATACTTCCCATAATTTTATTATTGGCACTGTATCATATGCTTTTTGTAGATCGATGAATGTTATATGAACTTCCTGGTTCATTGCAGATTTCTTCTCGCTTCTGAAACCATTCTGCTCTTCTTCTTCGTAGCTGGAGTATTCCTCTTCAATTAAGTTCCTCAGTATCCTTCCATAGAGGCGACTCATAGTGCTGGTGACCGAAATTCCCCTGTAGTTATTGGGATCCTTCCTTGAGCCCTTTTTATATATAGAGGAGATATATGCTTTTTTCCACTGTTCAGGTACTGGATGACCATTTAAGCACTGGTTAACTATGTCTGTTAACATTCTAAACAGTTTTTTGCTTCCAGATTTTATGAGTTCCGCATATACTCCCTCTGGGCCACATGGTCTTCCATTCTTTAAAGACATTATAGCGGTCTTTATTTTGTTGGTATCCACGTAGATTTCCTCTCCTTCAATGTTTATTTCTGGCTGTGGCGGTTCTTGATACTCAGGTCTGTTCTCTGACAACAATTTGAAATAATATTTCACCCATTCTTTGTTGGTTATTATTTCTATAGGGGCTGACTCCTGTTTTTCAGTTGTTTTTTTTTATTTCCATACTTCATACTTCCGTGCTAACTTTTACCATTGCTTGGTGCTAACTTTTACCATTTGAAAAAAATTGTCATTGCCCATCAATACAGCTTTTCCAGTATGTATTTATACATACAGGGTGTCCCACTTAAGATGGATACAAGCCAATATCTTGGTTGTATGTTGAGCGATCTTTTTCATTTTTGGCAGGAGGCTGTATGGCTATAAGACGTACATTTTGCCCAGGGTCAAAAATGCGATACCTCATAGACGTGCGTTTTAATGGGATTTGATATTTTTCGAGTCAAGAGGTTGATATTTTTCGATAAATACTGTCCTAAGGGTAGTTTATACCCTTAGGACAGTATTTATTTCAAATCTGATAAATTATATTGAATCCTCCTTACCTAAGATACTTAAGTTCTAATTTTTGTAAATATTGATACAGGGTGTGTCATTAAAATAAGACATTTTTATTTTTATTATTATTTTTTGAGTACTTACGACGCCACTGGATAAATAACTGGTTTATTATCAATAACCAATTATATCCAATTATCATTTTGCAGAAAGGTTATAATTTTTGGGGTAATTTGAAAATTATTTGTAAATAATTTGTCTTAAGCATCGAAAAACAGCAACATCAGCAAAAACATTGAAGTTTGTTCACCCTGTACAGTGAATGTGTCTGACCTCTTTGCGACAGCTCTAACAAGCACATCTTACTTAATCAACTAGATTTCTTGAAATGGAATTTCGGAATAGCATACCATTTTTGTACAATTTAATTCTTTTTACATCTGAAACATTTTTCTTCTAAAGAATTTAAGATATTCTTGGAAGTACTTAAGAGCCGAATGAGAAATAAGACTTAATTTCAATACTGTATTATAAAATTGAAATAATAAAAAAACGTCGCTGGGTATTTTTGTATGTACTGGGTATTTTTGTTTTGTACCAACAGGTATGGTAGGCTATTAAGATCGCCAAATTTTTTTTTAAATTTTACTCAAAATGAGTTATTTGGGTCATAAATGACCTAAATACAAAATATTTTCATGGTGTCTGTCTGTCCGTCTGTAACACGATAACTCAAAAACCGCTAAACCGATTTTAACCAAATTTGGCACAAAAATACTGTGGCACCCTAGAAGGCCATTAGTTTTTCGTGGGGGTGGGGGATTGGTGGAGGGGGTTAAATATTTTAAAAAATCGTAACTCTAAAATTACAGTAGCTAGCGAAACGCGGTTTTCAATTTAAGTTTAGGAATAATATTTGCAACAAAATTTGTAATAACATCAAAATCAGTCAAAGTCGCAGTTTTTGAGATATTCCGTGTTTCTGTAGTTCGTTTTTGAGAAAATCCGTGTGGAGAACAACAAACTCCCATCGGACGCGACCCCAGGTGACGGATAGGGGAAGTAACTGCGGACCAAAATTGGAAAAATTCCTTTACTTTGACACTGAAAGAACTGCCTACCAACTTTTTATTAACACATTTTAGTATGGGCGGCACGTATAGCCTCCCCGCGCCACTTTTTTTACTTTATTCGATAGATAATGAGACTCGGAATGGAATGACATATCGTGTATCAATTTTTAACATTTTCGTGTCTTAGCTAGAGAAATGGTACAAATGGAATTTATTTGTCACGTTGGTAAGATGCGCTCTTTCTATAATGTCCTTACTTGTATACGGAAATGTCAACGGTGAATAAACTAATCCATTCAGGACTTTTTAAAAGTTCACTATTCTCATCTATTGTTTATCTTCTTTATTGATGGTTCCAAATAATACTATGCGACTGTCTTTTAACATTTTGCTCTTGAACTTTTTAAAGTTTACTACAACTATTGCTCATCCTATTTATAGACACTTCTGAATCTTATTAAAGATTACACACCTTTATTTTTGTTTCTTGAAAGTATATGACAAAATAGTTCACTAATAGAATATCGATTTTGGATTTACTTTACTTTTTTCCATAGCAACTGTTAAAATTGCCTAATATCTATCAAAAATAGTAGATAAAATAATACTTTAACCGCAAGGGTAGATTAAATGATACTTTAACAGCGAGGATAGGTTAAAAACTTTATTTCTTCTCGCACGTTTTGTAATTGCTTCCATTTTTGAAAATTTTTGTATTCCTTTTCATAAGTTATTCGGGATTTAAATGGAAGTAGTTTGGATATAGCTTTGTCGCCTCAGCCTGAATATCTGTTGGTAATTTACTTATTTCGTTTTGAGCCATTTCTGGCTCCAATTCAATCAGCAATCGACACGAAAGTGAATTAAAATATATTGACTCAAAACTGACCTCTAAAGAGACAGCTTTATGTATTTTTGTCAAATTACATAGAAACCAACGCCAACCCAGCACAATATTTTTTCTACTCGTAATAAATTCGTAATTAAACCGTAACTCTCTATGGAAAAAATATTGTTTTATATACGACGATAAAATTGCATTATCGTCTCCCGAAATTAATTCACTCGCGATTTCATCGCTCGTGAATTAATCTTTTCGGTCGACGATAAAATACCATTTTATCGTCTTGTTTAAAAAATAACTATTATATCAATTTAATTTTGTAGTACAGCGTGTCTCAGGGTATATTTTCATGTATGGGGTTTCTTGTTTAGTAGTAGAGATACAAAGGTGGCAGTTTTTCTAGCCCCCAAGGGAAAACCAGTGGCGTAACTAGTTTTTTGATGGGAGCTATCATTTTTGAAATATGACCCAAATTTTTGTTGTATTTTTAATCGAATACCCTGTATATTAATTTTTTATTTTATCTGCCTTGTAATTAGTTTTCTAAAAATATAATATATTCTATACTTATTTTCATAACAAGGTTAAAAATTATATTACCCTTTTAAACAAAAAGGTAATATAATTTTATTTACTTAATTTAATTTAACAAGATAATTTTAATTTCGTTAAGTTGTCATAATACCAAGATATTATGTTTATAACCAAAAAGAAACATTCAAAAAACACCGAATTTTGAAATAGTTTTTACAAAAAAATCTCAGAGACGTGTTGCTGGTGTCAAAATAAAGCACCCCTAAAATATTTGCGCTTGTTTAAGACCCCCATGTACACAAAAAAGTAAAAGTGAAAAATTAATTTCCTATTTTTTTTTCTAGGTTTTGAGTCAAAAGCAGTCCGATACGGCGAAGAAGAAGAAACTTTTGCCCTTCAAAGAGCCGAGACCGGTGACATCAGACTTAACAGAGAACCTCAAACGCAAGTAGTTAACCAACAAAAGGACTACCGCAGACCTGCTGTGAAGAAGAACTACAACAACAACAATAACAACCAGGAAAGGGACATCTTTAAGGGATCCAGCAGCTCGAACTTTTTCAATAATAGAAACAACGGAAAAGAAAACGACGATGATTATGACGATAATGTCAATATTAATCAAAATAATGACTATCAAGGAAGGAAAATTGTTCGAAAACTTCAAAGAAAACCATCGCAACAGAACAATCAACAACAAAGTAGTCAGCCGCCTAAACAACAAGTTACTTCAAGCCCAAGTAATAATTTAAGAGGACGTAATCAACGTCCAAGAAATAACGCAGTGAGTCAAAATGTGAACAATTCTCCTACCCCAACTTATACTGTAAGCACTCCTGCTCCCTTCAGACAGAATCCTAGCACATCTAACAGAGCAAACACTCAGACTTACACTACTACAACTACTTCAGAAAATTATCCTAAATCTAAACCCACCACAGCTCCTGTTAATTACAATTACAATTTCGACGTTCAGAAAAACACCAAACAAACTGAAAACTATCCGTCAAATAATCCCATTTATTCCAAAACAACTACACCCGTAGCTAATAACTTTAACACAGCTTTCAGTAAAGAGCAGAGTAGTGTACGTCAATACGATAACCCAAGACCCACGACGTTCTCACCAAGTGCAAAACCGTTCAGTTTACCAAACCATGCTTCCCAACAAAATACACAAACTTCCAACACATTCCCCACCACCTTCGCACCAAGGACACAACAAGCTTTTACTCAAATCGCTCAGAAAACAATACAACAGAACACGTATAATACTCAAAATCCTAGCACTTTTAACCAACAGTTCACCCAAAGTACGACACAAAAATCATCCCCATTCACACAATATACACCAACTGTTCCTAAAATCTCACCTACCACCCCTGTGAGCAGATCAAACAGATTTGATGAAACTCAATATGACGATGGATCGTACAATTCTAAATACGACTACAATGGAGACGATGAATTTTTGAAAACAGCTCACAGTCAAAATATCGCCAGTAGTAGAAATGAACTTGCAAAAACACAAAAGCAAGCTCAAAGCACCAGCATTACGCAGAAACCTTATGTATCATCTACTTCAACGTCATATCCCACGAGACAAACTGAAAATTATCCAAAACCAACTCAATATGCTGCCTCTAGGAATACACAAGTCACTCAAAAAGTTGTAGAAAAAAGACCTAAAGAATCAAGTCCAAAAGCACCTCCTAAAAAGGTTAAAGATGTCAGTTATGATTATGCTTATTATGATAGTTTAGCTGCCGAACCAGACTACCAATTAGATTTGGACATCAAAAAGGAGAAAAACTAAATCTAGCTAAGTCATTCATATAACCTATTGTATTTTTGTTGCGTGTGTTGTCAGAAAATGAAAAACTAAGTCATTCATATAACCTATTGTATTTTTGTTGCGTGTGTTGTCAGAAAATGAAAAAATATTGTTGTAATGACTTATTGCCTCTTACTGAAACTCTACTGATCAACAGTGCAGAGGAAGCGATTTTAGAATTAGAAGCAGTGTCATACTCAAAGGGTAAATGGTTGAGTTTCAGTGATAAGGCTAGTTTGTAAAGATATATTATTATATGACCAGTATTTTCCAAATTAGTGTACTTTTATGTAGATGTAGATGAAAGCTTTGTACATATGATTTTTTTATAATAAAAGTACTGTTATTTTTATAAAGTTTTTTATTCTATTTAAAATAAATTGGCTTTTAGTAATATTCACAACTTCTTAAAGATACCTAATATTTTACCGAATTTTGTTAATATTAAGTATTCTCTCTAAATAATTCATACAACAAGTAATTGCAACTTTTTAGAGATACCTAAAACTTTAACATATTATGCACAGAAAAAACACGAAACAAACAGAATTTTTTTCAATTAATAACGTCAATACCAACTCAATATACTGCCCTCTATAAATACACCACAAGTCGCTCAAAAAGCTGTAGAAAAAAGACCTAAAGAATCCAGTCCAAAAGCACCTCCTAAAAAGGTCAAAGATGTCAGTTATGATTATGCTTATTATGATAGTTTAGCTGCAGAACCAGACTACCAATTAGATTTGGACATCAAAAAGGAGAAAAACTAAATCTAGCTAAGTCATTCATATAACCTATTGTATTTTTGTTGCGTGTGTTGTCAGAAAATGAAAAATATTGTTGTATATGACTTATTGCCTCTTACTGAAACTCTACTGATCAACAGTGCAGAGGAAGCGATTTTAGAATTAGAAGCAGTGTCATACTCAAAGGGTAAATGGTTGAGTTTCAGTGATAAGGCTAGTTTGTAAAGATATATTATTATATGACCAGTATTTTCCAAATTAGTGTACTTTTATGTAGATGTAGATGAAAGCTTTGTACATATGATTTTTTATAATAAAAGTACTGTTATTTTTATAATGTTTTTTATTCTATTTAAAATAAATTGGCTTTTAGTAATATTTACAACTTCTTAAAGATACCTAATATTGTTAATATTAAGTATTCTCTCTAAATAATTCATACAACAAGTAATTGCAACCTTTTAGAGATACCTAAAACTTTAACATATTATGCACAGGAAAAACACGAAACAAACAGAATTTTTTTCTATTAATAACGTCAATACCAACTCAATATACTGCCCTCTATAAATACACAAGTCGCACAAAAAGCTGTAGAAAAAAGACCTAAAGAATCCAGAACAAAATCACCTCCTAAATAGGTTGAAGATGTCAGCTATGATTATGTATTTTGTAATGTTTTTACTCTATTTTAAAGGTGCCCGGTAGCGTAGAGGTACAGGCTCTCGTCTACCAATCTCAAGGTGTGGGTTCGATTCCCACACCCGGCATTTCATCAGCCGACTATTTTTATTAAAATAAAAATAGTTTGGGTACCTAGGTCAACTCAGCCTTAAATGAGTACTTGGGATTCACAATCCTGAGGTAATAATAGGCGGTTGAAGCGTAGTGCTAGCCACATTACCTTCCTTGTATACCGAACGTCTCTAGTATAGCAAGCTGTACCTTGCTACTCCCAAGGCGTTAAACGCTATATACGGGAGCTATTATTATTATTTTACTCTATTTTAAATAAATCGGTTAGTAGTTTCTCTTAGTAGATTTGACAAACATGTCAATGTAGTATTGAGCAATAAGAAGTATTGGAAGAGCGAAACGCTTGCCCAGCAGTTAAAAGACCATACCATAACTTGGTATACTGATGCTTCCAAAACCAATACGGGAACAGGGATCGGAGTGTTTGGGCCGAGAGCTAATTACTCCGAACCAATGGGCACTTACTCTAGTATCCTACAGGCAGAAATCTACGCTATCGAGAGATGCGTTCAACTTATCTTAGATAGGAACTATCGGAAACAAGAAATAGCCATCTTGTCTGATAGTCAAGCAGCGTTAAAGGAGATCAACTCAGTATCAATCAATTCGAAATTGGTCAAAGAATGCATAGAGAAGCTGAATAAATTAGGCAAAGAAAACAAAGTCCTCCTACACTGGGTGCCTGCTCACCAAGAGATAGAAGGCAATGAAAAAGCAAATAATCTAGCTAGGAAAGGAGCGAACACTCCACTAACTGGACCAGAACCGTTCTGCTTTCCAAGTGGTAACCAACTCAAGGCGGAACTCAAGAACTTGGAAGATTCCATCCGCAACCTGGAATGGAAATCTTGCAATGGTCTAAGACACTCGAAGAAGTTTCTGAGGGCTTATGATCAAGAAAAATCACAGATCTTCCTGGGTCTGAGTAAGAACAATCTTCGGATTGTCACGGGGTTTTTAACGGGACACTGTCTCCTCAATGAACACCTCAGTAGATTGAAACTAAGAAGAAACGGCGAATGCAGATTCTGTGGGGAAGATGGGGAAACACCAGTACACCTCATCACTGAGTGCGCCGAGACGACAACCATTCGTGCCATGAATTTTGGTACGACTGATATTGGAGATGGAGAACTACCCTCTATAAAACCGTCCCAGATACTGGCTTTTGTCAAAGCCCTGGGACTGTATGATGAGTTATGATTCAAGAAAGGGGGACACAATGGATCTGTAAGGTCGAAGTGATTAACCCCCCTCCCACTCATTCTAAATTCTAAAAATTCTAGTAGTTTCTCTTAGTAGATAGTTTAGAAAGTTTATTAGAAAATTTGTTACTACAACGGACACAACGGTTGCTAAAATTTTACCAAGCTACTCGTACATGCTTAAAAAGCAAGGATTATGCATATAGTAGCTTTATTATTCCATATTTACTACACTTTAATTAGCACATCCCTTAATAAAGAGCAGAGTCGAGTAGGACACTATGAAAACACAAGACTTATTACAAATTGTATAAAGCCATCCGGCTTATCACAATAATGGGTTGTAACAAAATTACGTTTTAAAGAGGGAAATATACTAAATAGGAAGATGAATATTAAGAAATAATTAATACAAAGTTGTATAATAGAATAAAAAAGTTATACTCTAGAAATATCTACTTTAAGAAAGTTTTGTTTACTAACTTAAGAATTGTGGTACCTAAGCATTTAAGAAAATCAAAAACAATAAATCAAATTTACTATAATAGTTTCACCATAAAGGCATGAAAACTAGATCCATCAGATTTGATATCGTATCAATGACGAATATTCAAGATTCATTTGAGATATAAAATAATTGTTTAATAGTGTCACTTGAATTAAATAATTGTCATTTAAGTAGGTATAGTTTCATTTCTATCCTGAATATAGAGAGAAATAATTTTTTTTATTTCACATTATAAAATATAATCATGCAATAAATTTATTTTTTGAAAATTAACTGGACCTACCAAACCTCTCAGTATATAATAGAAACGTCAAAGAAAATGTTAAAAAGTGTTAAATATAGTTTTTTTCTTGAAGTCTTGAATTATTTTCATTTGTATTTCTTTGGATTTTATTTTACTGTGCCATCTAGTTTAAGAATAAAAAGTTAGTTAGGATAAAAGTTTAATATCATCATACATAAGGAAAGAGCATTATTATATTTCAAGTAGCTCTTTTAAAGAATGTTCTATTTTTTGTATTTTTGAAGTCTTATTTCGATTCTTTTTATATATTTATTAATAGAAATATAACTTGAATTGATGAATGTGATGACTAAACATTTTATATAACAATATTTACAATATAATCAAATATATTTTTCCTCAAATTAGAATAATGATAAAATGAGAATCATAACATCATATGTTATGATGATATATTTTAATGTATCTTTGTAAATTGTAGATGTTAAGTATTTCTTGATTATATATCTAAAATTATTAAGTAGTCTACAGGGAAAATAAACAAATACTAGAGTTCTGTTCTCATGTATCAAATATATTAATATATAATTATTTTTAACAAATTTACAATACAAAAATATTACAATAGTCTATAAGTAAATATAAAAAGTAGTAATACAAAAAGCGTTTTTACAAATTTAATAAGTTTATATGCTATACAAAGTCGTTTGCAATAATTGCAATAAAAATAAACATTTGTTATAAATACTAAAGATAGATCTAGAAATGGAAATAAAGTGTTTTATTAAGCATATTTACTTGCTTAATTTATATAATTTTGTTTCTCCTCTTTAAGAGAATTCGTTTACACAAATTACAATATTTCTAAAAATATTTTACAATATTCTGAAGAAATTATTGAAACTTGAAAAGGTCCTATTGTACTGGCAGTACCGTTATACAATTAGAAACGAAATAATAATTTTAGAAGAAAAATCAGTCAAACAATTTACACATCATCCAAATTAAAATACAATTCAGTTTCACATGCACTAAGATAAACTCTTTTAATCATTAATTTAATAAATACATATACATTTTATTAAATACATCTTTCTGGTTTTATTTTAGTACAAATTAATTTGTCCTCGTCAAAGTACGTCTTTCTGTCGCATACATATTTCAGGTCTAATAGCTGATTTTTGCTGTAGCCTTTTGTACAATAATGGAACAGTCTACAGTCTCTAGGATCAGCGTAGAATCTATTCATATCTTTACCGAAACAGTTAAATACATAATTTCTATTAACTTTAGTTGGTCTACGATGAACGCTTTTAGAGGATATTGGAGTAGTTTGCAAGGAAATCTTTTTTAATTCAGATCTCGTTGGATTGGCACTTCGATACAGAGGCGCATCAGTTGTGTTTTCTGTCAGATTCACTGACCGACTGGTGTTCGTTTCTTCAGTTTTTAAATAAGGATTTTGTGTAGATAGGTCTGTACTAAATCTATGTCTACCGAGGTAATTTCTTTGACTACCAGTGGGTTTTCTTCTGGGTGGCCTGGTACGTCTAGTGTTTGGAACAAAAGTAGTCGTTAAAGGTACTTCTTCTGGATGAGGCGATGTTGTTTCAATCATGACTTGAAGCAAGTGACTAGAATTAACTTTGATTGGTGCCTCCATGTCAACAGTTATCGGTAGATTCGTGGTTGAAGTCGTATCAGGTCTCTCAAAATCACTATTCTTTATAAATAGAATTTCAGTAGTGTTATGTCCCACTTCTGATACTCCATAAGTTCGAACAGTGCTTTCTTCAGTCACTGTTTTGTTTGGATCTGTGTGTTCAGTAGTTAGGAAAGTTGTAGGAACAGTTTCTGTAATAGTTTTCCCATAACTTTCTGTTGAAGTGTATTTTTCATGATCTTCTTTGGCAACTACGCTTTTAGTAGTAACCTCCACTTCTTCAATAAACTCTTCAAGCTTTTCAGTTGTCATGAAGGTATTTGGGGTACTTGGTAACGTTGTATGAGAACTACTGTCATTCTCTTCAGATTGAGCGTTGTTAACATCATGAGCGATATTAAAAGTAGAGTCGAATATAGATACTGGTAATGATATTGATTTTTGTATTTCAACATTAGGTGATGTAGCTGTATTTACACTGATATAGTCGTTTGTACTGCTACCATATGAAATTAAATTAGTCGTGCTATCTATTCCAGAAGTTTCCCGTGACAACTTCAAGTCATATTTATTCTCAGGTCTATAATATCTATCTAGACTTTCTTCGGAACTTTTCCATGGATGACGACCTTGGTAACTTCGTGTCGTTAACTCAGGAACAACAAAAACATCATTCTCCAAATTGTAGTTGTATTTTGAAATATTTTCCGGTGTAATAGAGGCACTTGATTCTGTCGAAAGATGATACGATTGAGTTACTTGCTTTGTATTATCCAAATGTTGATCATGTAGATCCACAAATTTCGTGGGATTGGTAACACTTGATTCCGTAGTACCGAAACTTTCCGGAGCTTCATAACTGAGATAGGGCGTCGTGGCTGTTGTGTCATCTAAATTTAAATTTGTATCTACATTTATAGGTTTAGTGGATAAATTTTGCTCTATAATTTGTAGTCTGTAAAGTAAATTTGTCTTTACATCCTCATCCTTCTTGTGACTTGGTTCAACCGTATCCACAACTCTATTCTTATTTCTCAAATATCCATCCGTGTTTTGGTAACTGTAACGACTCTTATGTTCAAAATCGTTCGTAATTTTATCATCTTGGACTGTGTGGTTATATACATCACGTAATGTAGGTAAGTTAATATTAGATGCATTTACTGCAGAGCTAGAGCTAGTATTATAAATGTTTGTATTCGACTGATATCTTATTGGCGAAGGATTAGTAATTGGTAGAGTTTCTGTAGTACTGATACTCTCGATCTCCGTTACAGGGTTGTACAACTTTGGTGCATATTCAGTAGTAGATTTCGGCCTTCTGGGCCTTTGAGATTGAGCAAAATATTTAAAAAGTTTTGCTACAAAATTTTCCGTTGTAGTTCGTGGTCTGTGAGTCGTGGTAAAGAACTGAGTAGTAGTACTAAATGCAGTTGTCGATGAAGTGTGTATATTTGTAATATCTGTTTCTGTACTACCCCCGTATCTCGTATATGTCGTTTCAGTTTTGGTATGACTTGGTAAGCTCTCTGATTTAGCGTCAAATTTATAAATTTTATGTGTATTTTCAATGACGTTATTGTTTTTAATACTTGACTCTTCAAAAGTTGTATGACTAGTTACTGGTAAAGAGGAATCGCCCAAGCTGTCGTAAGCGTTATCCACCTTCAAAGTTGGTATTTCTGTTGTTAACGTTGTCTCGTATATAGTTGTTTCGGTGTTACTTTCAGTAAGAGGAACGGCAGTTGTCGATGAAGTGGTACTACTGTAATCTATAAACCTTGATCGGCCACGTTTCCGACCTCTACGACTTGACGAGTTCGAAACAGAAAATTGTGTCGTACTGCTACTATAAGCTCTCTCACTATCCCCTGTATTGTAGGGTCTTTGCCGAATCCTTCCCCGTCTTCTGCTGGGTTTTGTCTCTGTTGTACTCGTTACTTCAGTGGTAGTGGAGGAAATCGTTTCTTTATTTAGAACTGGTTCATTATTTAAGTCTGTTGTACTGGAACTTGGATATTCAGTAATATTATGAGTAGTAATATTATTAAAATTATTTGTAGGTAACTGATTTTGTATATCTGTTGATGTATTGTATCTAAGAGCTTCAGTGTCATTATTACTGGAAATGTCATTAATATGCAGTGCCGTATTATTATCATATTTGGAATGCGTTAAATCAATTGTATCCTCACCAAAATATTTATAGTACTGTGACATCGTATGAAGATCAAATATACTTTTATCTGAAATCAAAGGCACTTTCTTTCTCTCATTTGGTAAAGTAACTTCTTTATCGGAATATATTTCTTTATTTCCTGAATTTGTATTATATAAACTATCTTGTTTAATGGAATATTTTTCTTTGATTTCTGAATTTGTATTACTATGTGAAACACTTTCTGTGTTCGAATTTACGGTACTATTATGTTCTTTATAAACTGAACCTTCATAATTATCATCAACATAGTCATAAGGATTAAATGACGGTTCTTTCGAATCCTTGATAAATGTTGTATCTGCGTTATCTATTTTGCGAACTAATAAATACGTGCTTCCATTGGTACTTGTAGGATTTTCTGTTGTTATATTAATTCCCTTCTTGATATCTTCTTCTTTTAAATTTGTTTCCTTTTTGGATACATCTTTTTGTTGAGTACTACCAATGTTTTTATACCCTCCCACAATACTGAACCTGCTATTTTTGCTAAACAACTCACTAACGTCCAATTTAATCGGTTCAGTAGTGGAGGGCTCTTTGGAACTGCTGGTATGAATTTCGCTGCTCTCAGACGATAAAGACTCAGATTTTGTAGGAGATAAATTGTAGTTAATTTCGTGTATTAAATCGGGAGCAACTGGAATGGTAACTGAGGGCATGGTAGCGGTAGCTTGGTGACTTTGGTACCAAGTATATAGGAACTTTAAAACGTCAACTGCTTCTTTTTCATTTTTAATTATGTCGAAAGGGTTCACCTTTTTCGTTTCGGCACTTCTTTTTCGGCGCCTGCTATGTTTCACTTTAGGAACATCATGGTAGAATGGGTCCAACACTACATCACTTTCTTTGTATTCATCATAAGTAGAAGGAGGGGATTCTAAAATTTGGGCGGCGTCTATTGTGCCTAAAGAATAATTCAACCGTCTTCCGCTAGCGTCGCTGACGCTAGCACTGGCACTAATAATTATCCTCGGTGGATTCTGATGCTCTTTAGTAAACCTCTTGCTTCCTACGTGCCTCTGAAGCGTAAATGGAGCGGGAGAACTAAAGATAAGAGGAGGTAGAGTGGGGAGTAAAGGTATGGGAATCTGAACTCTTTGAGGAGGTTTTTCTGTACGCGAATGTAATGTATAGTGATGATGCTGATGTACAGTAGGTGCTTTAGGTGTGTGAATGAATACTTTTGGGGTGGACGACTGAAACGATTGGGTGTTTCTAAAGTCGTCGCTAGGGGGAAAACTCTGACTATGTCTGAAACTGTTTGTCTGAATAAGAAATTGTTGTTGGTGCTTTCTATTCGGATCGTTATGTACTTCGTGTCGGTGAAACCCGAAATCAACTTCACTGTCTCTATCGCTGTCAATATCCAGCGTATAAATGGTCTTTGGAGTGGTCGACGAGCTAACTTGCTGCTTTATGTCTTCATCACTATCACTATTCACCGATATTTTACTACCGTCACTGAAACTTTGACTCAAAAAGTGCTTTGTCCTTATGTCGGGAGGGGCGTGTGGATTCAAACTAATGTTTATTTCTTCGGGATTGAACCTGATGTCAGGGTTCACGGGGAAGTGATGAGTCGAGATGACGTTGGGTTTACTCGTTGTGCGAGTAGTTGATGTGATCACGGGAGCTCTGGTTGTACTGAAGAACGGCGTGTTCATAAACTTGGTTGGTCTTTTGCTGGTTGTAGATGTCGTAGTGGATGGTGTGGTTGATTTGATGATTAATGATGGTGATTCGGTTTCCTGGGATGGGTCTGCCGATTCTAAAATATAGAAATAATAAAGATTAAAACAAATTAATTGTTGTTGTATGACGCTGATGATGATTTGCTCTAATTCTAAAGTAAATAAATAGTGCAGATAAGATATAAATTTGATAATTTTGACCAAAAAATGACTTGAAGATCTTTTAACACTGAATATATTTCTGTTATCTTATGAGACCCCAAATAGGTATGAAGTGCATGCGTGTGAGAGATACATAGTTTGAAATAATTTTCTGTGTACACAGGGTGTTCAAAAAATGCATTGCCAAATTTCAATATGATTCCTCATCAGAAAATATGATTTTTCTTCTATAAACATGAATCTGGAAATGCATAGTTTTAAAGATACAAGATGTTAAAATTTTAAAAAAGATTTTTTTTGTAATTATCTTGAAACCATTATTTATTTTTGGAATTTGCTGTAGATAGATATTGATAGATGGTTAGTATTAATTTTAAATTATGTAATTTAATAGAGGTGGCTACCATACCACTCTGTAGCGATTAAAGGAGAATTATTCAGCCTGTGATTCAACCGTAATTTCGTATTTTATTCATTGAACATCAATTTTACAAATAATTAGTACTGAGTCTGTGGTTGGTTCCTTGTGAAACATCGTTGAAATATTAGTATACTCTGTTTTTTTTTCTCAGGTAAGATTTCGACAGACGAGGACAGAAAAAAAGCAGATGACTTCCATACCAATTCATTTATTTTACTAAAAAAAGTTTCTAATATTTTTTAAGTTAACTATGGATGGGTTTATAAATAAATACGTCACGCGTCGTCTCTTATTGTTTGTAACCCGTTTTATTGGTTTATTTCAAAAATGACAGATCATATTTCAATATTATTGTTTTGACGCAACGATGAACGACAAACGGACGCATATGCGTATGAACTCGACTTAAGATTTTTGAGAGTTGTCAAACTCTTGCCAAATTATAGGTTATAATTTTCTGCCAAATTATGTCAAATAGAGATGATAGATATTTTGCATTTTGCATTTTGGATTGTGTTTGGTTTGGTTGTTACTTGTGTTTCGTGTTTTTTTAAAATTAAGTGGAGGAAAACTCGAGGGAAAATTAAGTGTTGACCCAGACCATAGTATTACAGTTAATATTCAGTGCACAGAGACCGCCAGAGATACAGTTTGCCAGAGACTATGGCCAGAAAGTTGTATTAGCTACAAATAAAGTTATATACCATCTCGTATATGGTACCAAAAACTGGAGTATCTGTAAAATAACATCACACGATAGGTAAATAATACATTTTAGTACTGCAGAAAAAATAAGATTAAAGTTAATTAACCAAGATTAGATTTTTTCAGTTTCATACGGTTTTTTTTCACAATATTTTGAAGTAATCACATGTCACTCAAAATTTAAATACACTCGCCAGCAAAATTAACGCATAATTTGATTTTTTCATTTTTTGGAAAAACTAAAACGAATTCAAAAGTAAAATTATTATGTATTTGTTAGACAACTCGTTACCAAAATAATAAATTTCAAAGAAATTTTATTAACTAGCTAAAGAAGAAGATACAGTGGTTCAAAGAATAATGTGCAAAACGCAGTACAAAAGCATTACAAAATAAAATAATCAGAAGGCACGGTTTAATAACGGGTGTTGCCTCCCCTGGCACGGATTACGGCCTGGCAACGTCTGGACATACTGAAAACCTCATTCCTGATTTCATCTTGCTCGATAGCGTCCCATACTTCCTCTAGTCTTAGCGATAACTCATTTAAATTGTTGGGTGGATTTGGTAGAGCTCGTAGACGCCTATCCATCATGTCCCAGATAGGTTCGATGAGATTGAGGTATGGGCTATGCGCTGTAAAATCCATCGTCTCGATTTGGACCTCCTCCAAGTAATTGTGGACAACTCTGGCAATATGTGGCCTGGTGTTATCGCGCATAAAGAGAAAATTGTCCCCTATAAAAGGAGCAAAAGGTACCACTTGAGGCTCCAAAATGTCCACAATGTAACTGTGAGCAGTGAGACGGCCTCTCTGAATGATCACCAGTTCTGTTCGAGCTTCCATATTAATGCCGCCCCATACCAAAACTGACCCACCACCATAAGCATGTTTTGGTTGTATACAGAATTGCGCAACTCGTTCGAACGGCCTTCTGTATACTCCAATACGACGATCGTTGCCATATAGGCAAAATCTAGACTCATCTATGAATAATACGTTCGACCATTGATGGTTATCCCAATTTACATGCTCTCTAGCAAAAGCCAGTCGGACTCTTCGGTGCTCTGGGGACAACGGTGTTCCAGTTGCAGCCATTCTGGGTCTCAGATTATCCGCTCTAAGACGTCTTCTTATCGTATCGCTGCTTATTTGTTGGTTATATCGCCTTATAAAATTCTGGCGGAGCAATGTAGCTGTCACAAACATTTCTCGCAGAGCCTGAAGTCTCAAAAATCGATCCTGATGGGCATCGGTTATTCGGCCACGGCCTTGGCCTGGTCTTCTCTGGTTATTTCCAATGTCCTGGAATCTTCTTCTTGCTCGCGAGATCGTTGATTGTCCAACATGAAATCTTTCCGTTATTTATACCTGAGACAAGCATTCTTCAAATCATGCAATAACTATAGCACACTCTTCGGGGGTGAGATTGCGATTTTGACGTACGTTAGGGTTCATTTTACTGATTTAAATGTTTAACAGGCAACAGCCGCGCACTCAAATAAAATGATCTTAAAATAAACGACTTCGAGCATTTCAGCGAATAAACCTGTTTTGGGAATTTATAAAAACTATTGATAAATTCGTATCATTCATGAAAAAAAAAAGGATCACCTCAGCAAGAAATAATAAACAGAAGTAATTTTAGGCCAATATAACTGATCTAAAATACAGACCATAAAACTTATAAGACAATATACGATCATGCGTTAATTTTGCTGGCGAGTTTATATTAATTATGTGTTCCAATTGTACCAACTTATTTCTTTGTAAAATAAAATAAACTAGGTGCTTTGAAATTAAAATGACAGACACATCTATCACTGTCAAGGATCTTGTCGTTGGACAGATTATATATTAATAAAACACGCTTTTTCAGATGTATCAAAAAAAATACAAATTGTAATATGTTACTGTTAATTTGTTAAGTATATTAATACTTTTTAAGTATTTTTATACTAATGTGCATTCAATATAAAAAAATTGATTATTTCACAATGGTTGTAGAGAAAAATAAAAAATATGAAATTACAGTTGAATTTTACAATGAAAAAATTTAGTATTCATTCATTGATAGATGGTTATTATTAATTTTAAATTATGTAATTTAATAGAGGTGGCTACCATACCACTCTATAGCGATTAAAGGAGAATTATTCAGCCGTTAAGGGTTATTATTCAACCTGTGATTCAACCGTAATTTCGTATTTTATTTATTTTTCTCTAAAATGGTACGAAAATTGGGAGATGTAAAACCGTGATTAACTATTTTAGAAGAAGTAAAATTTATTATAAAGAATGCATTTTTATCGAAATTTGAATGATTTTTTTTTCTCTTGTAAAGGCGATGGGGACATACTGTAGATAATAAACAACTAATAAAATATCAATAAAAAAGAATACAGTTGTCGATAAAATCTAACGCCAGTCATCATTGTGCGGAAACCGGAAAAAGTACTTATGTAGGTATAGAGAAGTGCTAAGTTTGTTTAAGTCATTATCAAACTGAAAGCGAGAGCGACTTACTATTTACCAATTTGTGCTTTAGTGTTTGCTTAGTACATTTAACATATTGATAAGAGAATTAAAGAGAAAGCTTACGCAAATTAATGATGATATTAAAACAATTTTTTATTTCGAGTACCTACATATCCCCTTTTAAATTATAATTAATATTTACGTTATATTGTTAAGTTTTAATTGAGTCTTAGTAAAATTAGTTTATTTCAGTTGGTATTTCTAACAGAAATTTGCCACCTGCTCGTAAAAGAGTATGTTTCATTACAAACTCGGTTTTCATTTACACAAGATTACGAACAGTAAATGTAGTAAGTGTTATATACAGGGTGCTACAAATTCGAGATACGAGCATTGGTATCTCCGTAACCGTAATAGATACGAACATGCTTAAATTGGGGCAAAGTTGCGCTTTGTGATGTTCACCAAGATGTTATCAAAAAAGTTTTAAAAATTTCAAGGATTGCTGAGTTTTTTGGAAAAAACTGTTTTTTTTTAAATCAATTTTATTTTTTCCTGTCGTTACTTTTAAGAAAATCAAAAAACTAATTGCATATTCTCATAGCCACTTTATTAGGGCTATCTGATAGTATTTTTAGATTTTCAAATTAGCTGATAATTTGTGAGATACAGAGGCCAACTTAATTTTTTTAAATACGGACCTGCATTTTTTCTCCTGAGTACAATGATATGCCACACTTTATACTTTTTTTGTTTTGGGTACCTTAACAACATAAAACTATATAATTATTATTTCAAATAATTTCAAGTCCGACTCTGGTTTTTTTAATAATTTAATCTGATTATATTCATCGTAACAATATTGATCAGCGCTAATTAGCATTGAATAACGAAAATCGAGCCAATTGGAAGATTCAAATAAATTATATCCAGGTCGCAGCAATTTAAAGATATTATTTTTATTTTTTTTTATTGTGAATTTGAAATCTCAATGTGCCATCTAATAATATGCGTAATATTCATCGTAGTTATTATAATTAAATAAACTTCTACACAAACTAGTTTCTAATGTTCTACGAAAGGGTTACAACCCTCCCTATTGCACAAATTTATTTTTCGTTCAATTTTATTTATAGCTCTTTAAACTTTCTTCTTATACGTCCTAAAGCTTTTTGTACTCTTTATTGTAAATGTTCAGATGTATTGATTTCACTTTTACAAATGACGTGAAGTAATGTATTCATTTGTATATTATTTTTTATTATTTTATTGCATTTGATTTAATGTTAATATTGAATGTTTGACGTCAT